ACAAGCTTGATGGCAGCATTCAGGCTGACAAGACAATTATGTTTGGATTTTAGAAGGTGCTGGAAAGGAATAAGGTGACAAAATTAATATCCATGTTTAAACAGCTCCTAGTGGAGGATAGAGGTAGGACACACAACATTTCCCATACAACACTTTTAAAGAAATAACACATAAACAATTATCAATAAGATTAAAAAGGTATTTTAATCTTCCACTTTTTTTTTTCAATTCCTTTAATCTGGTGGTGACAGTTATTACTCTGGTGTGTGTTTACACTGGCGTGCATCTTTTCAGGAAGCTTATGCCAAAACCAGAGTCAGAGTTTGAGTGAGCATGTGTGTCATGCTTTGGTTTGTTTCAAGCATTTTCTGTATTTTACGTGTAAGCTCAATAGAAATCTTGTGTTGAAAAAGAGGATGGAGTGTGCATCCTTGGGAAGAATACTCAATTTGCCTTAAAAAGCTTTAGAAAGCACTGGCTATTGGGTACTTCACTGTATGCCTTTCAATTGCAGGCAAGCTAGCTCATCAAGTATGCATTTTCATAGTTGAAACAACTGCCTGGCTTGGTGAAAATCTTATTTTTCTCCAATTCTGCTTTCAGGTCAGCAAATAAATACTTATAGAGCTAACTGCTGCTGTGATTTGAGTACTTGAGCATTTCTCAGTATTACTAATAGAACAGTGAGAAAAATGTACTTAATGCATAAAGCACGCTTATCCTTTAAATTTACCGTAGTAGCTTTCAATCATCAGGCGTTGAGTGCACAGGCTTTCTGGATTGCCAGTCACAACATGTAATTTTTCTGTTATACAAGCTGGCAGCAGCACTGTTCGTTTGAGCAGCTTGGAAGAGAGCATTAACACTTGAAGCTTATCTGCAAAATGAGACTAGATACTTTGCTGTTTTAATAACAATATGCATTTTCCATCATCTTCTGTTTCTCCCCTGAAGAATCTTGTTCCTGTTCCTCTTCATAGTTTGCTTTGCATTTCAGTGCCACCTTTAATTTCATGTAACATTTTTGGCAGTATTTCATGCTAATAAGTCGCGGACTATCTTCAGAACTTGAGAGCTAATATGATGCTGTACTCAGGATGATGTAGAGAATTCCTCAGTTTATGTAACACTTTATTTACAGTGTCAGAGAATAAGGACATACTAAGCTAAGTATTTCTGAAAATTAGTTGCAAGGATCCTTTACTAGCCTGGGGAATTTGAGATTCATAGACAGAAAAATCATTCTTCTTCTGTGGCAGAAGGTGGGATTGAACTTTCTGTTCTCACCACGCTTTAGTTGTCTTGCCTGTTTAGAAGAATGGTGCAAATGCTGTTTATGAGACTAGTAATCATGAATTTTCTGGCTAGAGAAAGCAGGTGAAACTCATGTTCTGTGGACTGGTTCATTGGTTTGGTTCATTTGGTACCTCTGTGTAGTGAAATGTAACCTGGACCTTTTGCACTCTGTTGAATTACAGATCTGGGTGGACTCTTGCAATGTGCAAAAATTTTCACCATCTGGGAAAGTCTGCTTTTTAGGTCCATATAGCTTGTACCCTACTAGTTCTGCACTGATGCAAAAAATCTGACGTTATTATATTTTCCTCTGATGAGCTCTCAAAAACACACCAAAGGCCAAAGACTCTTTACTACTGAAATTGGCATGAAACACTTAAAATAGGTATTTGGTAGAAAAGTATTTACAATGTCTGAAATGAGTTTTAGAGTGTTCTAAAGACAGTTCAAACTGAAATGATGAGTTGGATTAAAGATCCTCTTTTATATACAACTTTAAATAATTTGAAAGATCAGATATTATTAAAATAGTTACTTTGTTTCCAATCACACCCCTTTTCTTACTAAAGGGGACATAGGAAATAAGACATTTCTCTAAAAGGCTTTCATAAATCCTTTTAAAGAAATGCATCTGCTTTGTACCTTCCACCGAAGTCCTTTAAAATGTTCTGGTTGGCTGTTTGAAGACTGAGACAGAAAAACTGCCATGTCATGTACTGTTGGACTGCTAGTGGAAAGTGGCATGGGGTCTCCTGGAAGGCTAATGTTCTGCTGTAGAAAAAGAAGAAACAGGAACACTGACCTTCATAGCATGGTTAGCTTCACATACTTCTCTGGCTGCTGAGAAACCCCAGAGCCCCTCAAAGGGGTGGATGCAAACTGAATGTATTGTTACAGCTGCCCAGAGAAGGCAGTTTCTGTGGGAGAGGCTGCAGTCTCCTTCGTCTCATTGAGCAAACCTCATTTGTTAGTTCATTGACTAAAGCACTGGGATCTGCTCCTGCGGGAGCCGGGTGCTGTCAGAGAGGGGAGCAGGAAGGGGCCATGTGAATTCAGCTCTCCAGTGTCTCTTCTCCCTGTCTGACGGAAAGTTACTACTTTCTGCCTCGAAAAGGAAGCAGAAAAGCTTGTGGGTTGAGAGGTACTAAATGTAAAACCCAGCCCCACCATGTTTTAGTCAGATTTTCTAAATTATGGAGCCCTTGTTCATTTTGCTGTTATTTTTGTTTGTCTGAATTTCCCAGGGTTCCTAAGATCAAAGACAGCCCAGTGACTTGGCTGGCATGGCAGTAACCATTCGTGGGGCAGGCTGCGCAGAAGGAGTGCACGCAGCAGAGTCAGCAGCTGTCGAAAATGGGGTTTCTCTCCAGATGCAGAATTGGGGCCTTAATTATGCCTTGTGGCAAAGGGTCACAGGGGACATCTAGTTGTTGTCTTCAGAAGGTTAATGATTCCTGGAGTCCCTCTCATTGCAAGATAGGGAGTGAGTACTTTAGGGAGAGTCACTAACCAAATACTGGGTTACATAACTGTGTTTGTGGAACGATATGCATTTGCTAGAAACCTTAAACATTTATATAGATATGTGTAGTTCAGAGGTTTGCATTTCTTTTTTCAACTTGGCTCTCATATGAACCTGATTGACTCTCAAGTGAAGTTATTTTCTGAGAGGTAACAGACCTCCTAATACATTTTGTTTATACTTCTACATACAAACGGTTGCCATAATTCAAAAAAATACTCCAAAACATTGTATTTTATTGTGGAGAAGCATTCATCTGACTACATCCTGTGCATGGTGCACACATGCAGGCAGCTCGTATTATATATATGGGTCTCCCTACCTTCCAACTGAAAGAACATCATTCCTTCTGCAGGCCAAACAATATTCTGAAAGTTAAGAAATGCTCTCTGTGAGTTTGTAGCCCAAGTTCTGTGCAGTCATCACACCTCCTGCCACAAAACAAATCTGTTTAAAATAAAAGAGGAGAAAGACATAGTCAGTCTTACATAAGTAGCAATTTTGAAACTACTGAATAGGGATTTCATGTGAAGACAGTGATGCTTATCATTGAAGCGAAAGAGTCAAAAAGGCATACTTGTGTGGCAGAGGGATAATTGTCTCTTTCCTACAAAGTCAGGCTTGTGATCCAAAATGTCAGAGAGGAATGTCGCCTTTCTACTTAGGGAATATTCTTAATGCGTCAAGTCCATCTGGGTTAAATTTACTTTTCCACAGAACTAAAATGCAGAGCCGGATGTGCAGAATATTGACACTTCCATTCACTTGGGTGGTTGAGGCATCGTCTGCTTCTTACTCAGAACAGTGATTTGAGAAACAATTTGTCTTTACATAGATACTCTACATAAAAGAATTGTTAAAAAAAAGAGAGAAATTGTAAAGCCAAGTATCCCAGACTTGGAGTAGTCCAGAAGTTAGCGTCATAATGTTTCACTTCTGCATTGTTTTTTAATCTCATTAGATTTCCTAAATCAGTAGAGACATATTAGGTACACATCTCCCGGTGTACTTTCATCTGAAATGAATTCAACTCATGGACTTCAAAACTCTGCTGTGTAAACCAAAACACAGCAGTGGGGACAACCAAGAGATTTCACCTCCAAGGATGATTGGAATTAAAATCTTCTTGTAGATAACATCCATTGTTTCTCGCTCTGCTATCCTCATGCAATGCATATAACAGAAAGAGCTGAGCTAATGAGCAGCTATTCCATAATTTATTTTAACCTTTTGTTCCATGCGTGGCCCAGAGCTGTTTATTGCCTGCTGTTCAAAACCTGCTCTGAATTCAGAATTATTAACATCCTTAGGAGTTTTTCTCAGAGTGCTCATCGTAATGGTACACAGGTGCTTGGCAGGCAGTAAGTTCTCTTGCACTTCATCGTAGTGATGTGGGAGTGTGCAGCAGTTCCCCTTCTGCAGGCAGTGGCAGACAAGCTGGAGAAGCTAGTGTAAAAGCTATTGACTCATTTGGGATTCCAAGACTGAAACTCACCAGATCAGAGATTTTTTTTTTTTTTAAGGGAGTTGAACATTGCTCTTGCTCAAACCCCAGCTGTTTTGACCTCTGTTACAGCTGCGAGTGCCCAGCCTTTCTGCAAATCGGACTCCAGATTGTCAAGCCAGACACTGGTAAAATGAGAGAAAATGATTAATGAAGAAATGTAAAATAAATAAAAATAAAAAATTGTGTTTGAAGCAAGTTGCCTAGCATCCTGCTGGGAGTCTGAGTCTGACGCAAGAATGGTTGCTAGTTCCCAGTGGCACCTTTCAGGTCCATTTGCCATGCTTGCTTTTTTGTGAGGTCTCTTGTTTCTTTTCCTGCACACTTTCAGCTTTTCCAACAGATGGAAGAGGATTTATTGAGGAACAGACACTATCAGTGGTCTGGCAGGAGCAGTGCTTGCCTTGGAGTTAGAGTCTCCTGGAAATAAGCTAGCCCTAGAACTAAAAGAAGTTGGGGCTTCCTGTGGATTTGCATCTTGTGGTTGGTAGGAAGCTTTGGTTGGTCTGATGGAAGCTTTTCCACTGGGCTGAGGTACTTTTGAGACTCTCCTCCATATGGATTCTCCTGTCTGTAGTAATGCATGAATGGATGTTGCAGTTCTGCTTGCATCAGGTTTTCTGTC